ATCAACATATTTTCATTGTTCATTAGTTTTGCTCATATCCAGAAATATCCCTCGCCTCTTGTTGTGATTGTTAACTCTCTATGATTTTTCATATTAATGGATTAAGGGTTTAATTTTCCAATCTGCCAAGAAATTATCTTTCTATCTGTCTGGCTCACATTTCACACCAAAATCAAAATAAAATACAAATAACATTTTGCCAAAAGAAAATGAAGCCTATAGGAACATTAAGACATCATTAAGATGTAATTTTATTACATTACAATTAAGCATGTCCTTCTGCAATTGTAATGGGCCTACTGTCAGTAAACAAGTAATTCATATTATAGAAATTTAAAATCCTACTATTATATTAACTAGATTTCTTACTGTCAAATAAATCAGTAATTATTTACAATCAGTCAACACTTTATCATGTCAACAATTTTAATAGCTGAGGGGCAGAGGAAGAGACAATGATTAAGAATTGATCAGAATTTTTTGTATGCATTTTTGAGAATTATGATTAAGAATGCGCGGTTAAAATTACAAAGCAAAAAAGTCCTGATTCAAGACACACACACACATGTGCTTGCACACAACAATAATCACAACAGATCACATTGTTGCTTTAGAGGGTTTGCCGTGTCTTCCCAGGACCTTAAGTCTTCTTAAGAGCTTCTGTTTTTCAGAAGGGCTTTTCCTGAAATGTTCTCCTGGAGTAAGCTAAAAGATATAAAACATTAAGCTATGAATTTGTTGGCTGTACAGTGTCCCTGTGGATCCTATACACACCGACGTGGAGATAATTCCTCTGTTCAGATCAGTGAAAGGGAAAAAATGAGGCATGTTTTACATGGTCAAAGGAGCACTCAAAAATGACTGACAGATAAACTCTGGATTCCACCTTTCTTAAATGGGGTACAAAAAAGAGGTCCATTTCAATCAGTACATATTATTTGAAAGCATTTTCAATCAGCTTTGTAACTGGCTTTATGTAGAGCCACTAGGCAGGCCAGAAGGTCAAATTTCTTCTCTGAAGATAGTGAAATAATTGCTTTGGCAAATTCCAAAGTTCTGGAGCGGCGCAATGCTGCGACGGGGGAATCATTACATTGTCAAAGGAGATAAAAGAAGCCTATTTAGGTCGAATTCCCTATGGTGGACTATCAGAGAGACCCCTACACGCCTACCTCACTGTTGAAGGTATTGGAAAAAAGAATGAAAAAAAGGGGCTTCTTATTCGGCCAGTGATTTTCATTTAGATTAGTGCTGCATTTTATGCAGGAGTGAAGTGTCTCTCTGAATCTCTCACTGTCTGTGAGAAAGGTGTTGTCAAAGTGGTTCACCTCCTCCATCTGTAGACATTGTATTATACACGCTTGTTAATAAAACAGTGTTTTTCCTCCAAAGGAAGCAGCTGTTTTTTTGTGTTTGTGCATATGTTTAGTAGTCATGTAATATCAGAGTTCAAACCAAGACTTTAAATTAAAGTTTGGTAGCTAACATTTTTTTTTTTTCTGTTTATCTTCCCCAAAGCAGAAAACGAACCCCTTAGTTGTAATGTGTGTACTGTAAGTGGGTATGCAATTATTTTGTTTTATTGGTTTTTCCCTATGAATCAGCTCTCCCTAATTTATTTTTTTGCTAAATCTCCCGTAATTACTTTTGATATTAATGCAATTTATTTTCCTCGGATTATTGTCTTATTTTAATCACATGAAGAAAATCAATATTTCTAATTAATGAAACTTAGTTTTTAAGTTCTTACTATTCATGTTGTTTTATAGATCTGTGCCTTGCATTATAGCAACGTGATCTCATGGGAATACGTGTGTATTTGTACGTAAAGTGTCGTTCTATCATACGGAGAAACGTGTAATACTGACGTATTTACAGTACTCAAACGTAAAATATTTATGTATTGACAGCACAAAAATGTAAATTATTTATGTATGAACAAATCCACCAACGTACACATTTGTACGTATCACAATTTGTATTAATATCGTAGCATTATGTTTTGACTCTATTGCATTCCACTGTCTTATTAATGAAGTTTTCAGTCGCATTTATTGATATAATACTCATAAATATTAACATTTTGCTCGTTTCGCCTGCATGGTGTTAAACAATACACTATAAAACCTTAAAAATACATGCTTTAACGTTACTCGTTTAACCATTTTGTAATATCGTTTATTTAACTTGAGACACATAAAGCGTTTTCTCCTATAAAACACAACAAAAATTCATAAAAGACATCAATTTTATTCGTTTGATGCAATCCGAATCATTAGAATCCATATCAGCCTTTAATCCAGTCGTGATCTTTCCATTCTCAGCAGCGACCGTACATGTCAAATCCCGCGCTGGAGATTAATTCAAATTCAAAAATTGCGCCCTTGAGAAGCGTTACGTCGTGTTTTACGGCAGTGATATCAAACGTTCATTGGCTCTTCCCTGCTTCGTCACAGATTGCAACATGACGGTTGGTTAGTTTATTTGAAATGGAGAAGCGCGAACTGAAGCCGGATTAACATTTTCATTGATTAGTAATTTAATTTCTGCTCTGTACTTCATACAAAACTATTACAATACTGCCAGAGAGGACTGCGACTGCAACGCTTCATCATGTGTATGGCTTTTTTATCGGTTTTGACATTTTCGCAATAAATAAATTATTGTGATTATACTTGTTTTTCTTCATAATTGTAGTTTGTTCTACGCTATCTCACGACCAATTCGTATGAACTCGTACGAGTGATTAAAAAGTGGCCAATTCGTACTAATTCATACGACCTCACTCGTACGAATTCGTACGATTTGTCCAAACCCACGTGATGGGTAGGTTTAGGGGCGGGGTCAGGGGTATGTCATTCGTACAAATTCATACGAATTGGCCAATTCGTAAAATGTGTACGATTTAGCAAAAACGCACAGTGAGGTCGTACGAATTGTTACGAATTAGCCACCTCGTAAAATTTGTACGAATTCTCGTGAGATCGGGTTGGTTTGTTACGTTGTTTTAAGGAATTATATTTTTAGTTAAGCTATATTGTTAATAAAACTGCCATTTCCCAACACATCTGTCCATTATGTTTTATCCTTTTTATATTATGTATAAAATGAGTATGTTTAGGTTTGGGATTAGGGTTACGGGATCTTACATTTATCTATAAAATGGTAAAGAAGGGAAATTATACAGCTATCTTTATGATATAGAATATACGTAAATAGTTAACATTTTGAAGCTGTAGAAACGTAATAATGTTACGTTTAAATGTTGCAGATACGTCTATATTTTACGTTTCAGCATCTATCCAAACGTACTAAAAATGTTTTTAGTATGTTTTTATATCTTTGCAAATGTCTTTTATATCTTTTATATCTTTGGTATGTTTTCTATCTTTGCAAAAATGTAAAATACCTACGTATTAACAATGAGACCAGGCTGATTATATGCATTCAAACATCTGGCATGATCAGTAGGCTTTTTTTTTTTTTCTGAACTAGCGCACTGAACAAATTGTTTTAATGTGGTTTAGCATTAATTCTTCATCTGTTTCCTTGACAACCAGTTATTTAAAAGAATATTCATAATGAAATTTGTCAGGTAAAAAAAAAAAAAAAAACAACAACAAAAAATAAATAAATAAAAAATGCCCAAGAACACGTTTTGAAGCTCTGTGTGCATTGTTAAACCAGCATTGTCTCTTTTACCTCCAGTGATTTCTGGCTTGATCTACAGATCTAATAAAACAAGACAGATGTTCATAATAGCCAGGAAATAAATATATTGTTTTGTCTAATAGCTACAGGGTTAACTATGTCAACAGAGGAAACATGGGCCACAAAAGGGAATATCTAACACAAAGTCCAGGTGTCCCTGGTCCCCATTCAGTTTTTGAACAAATAGCAGAAAAGTTAAATATATCTTAAATATATGTTGTGTTCAATACGAGAAAACATTTCATATGGGTTTGGAACAACATAAGAGTCATTTTGCTAAGAAAAAGCTCCAAGCTGTGCAATATCGTACATTTTATTATACAAAATAAACAGCCAATGCTGCATTTCATTTTGATAGATATGTCTTCATGTGATGAATGTGTGAACAGATTCTTTCATACATTCATCTTCTCCATTCCCACTCTGAGTTCTGGTTCCACCTGTCATCTAAGCCTCATGTGTCTAGCTTGCGTCCCTCACTGTCAGCTTTGAGAAAAGAAGATGGCCCAGGGGTGAGCCCTGAGGAACATCGTTTAGTGTTTATTTTGACACTGTTGCCCCTTCCGTTACAATACTGCTGCTCACAGAGTGGGAATCATCATTGTCATAGACATAAAGATGCGTGGGGACTCTGCGTAAGTCACCTTTCCATTCCCATTTTTTTTTTGTACTCTTTCTCTCTGGTCCCATTTTACCCTGGTGTTATAACGTTCTTCTCAATCAATCCGATCACAATTGGTCTGTTCTAAATACAGATTTAAACAGTGTCCAAAACGTTGTTTTTTTTTCGATCCAGTCACTCATACCACGTTCAGATAGCCAGGGAAACCATGCACAGAGTAAATACAGACTATTTTGATTTCATTAATTGTAACACCAGGTGTAAATATGGCCTCTCTTTCTGTCTGTCTGACTCTCTTTCTACAGTGCATTTTCTCATTACTTCATTTCACTTTACAGTATGTCATATTCCAATCTGTTTTTGTAACTCCTGGCTTATTGCAGGAAGCTAAGTTGGCCTTTGTCAACTGTTATAGATGTCAATAATCTTTGAGTTGTATTAGATTGGTCACACCGATCATCTAACTGAGAAGTTGTGGGTTTTACTTCCAATTTAAATGTGCATAAGCTGTTTGTCTCTCTACTCACTGCACGAATTGGTCGTGAGATAGCGTTAGATCTGCCATGTTTTGTACAACTTCAGTTCAGTGCAAATCATGTGAAAGGAACTTTACGTTGTCATATCAGTGTATCTTCCACTGGTTGCTTAAATGTGCTTTTTTCCACAGAACTCTGGGAACGAAGAGCTACCGAAGCCAGCTGACTATGTGAGCTGCCATCCCCCGGGCAACAAGGAACAATTTGTTGAACCTCCGCCTCTATCTTCCTACCCCCCTGTTACCTTCCTTCCCCAGATCCCTTACACCCAGCACCCTACCAACACCCCCATGTACACCTTCCAACCCAACGCCGCCCCTCCTGCCCCCCGACCCCCATTTAACTTCCCCAAAGAGCAGTCCGTCTAAACCCATGACCCTCCGAACTGGGAGACGCTCCTGTGACCGCTCCGTTCCCCGTCCCATACAGGATAGCTATTACGAGTCTCACCTGGAGAGAGCAACACTTCCTTCCTCTTTACTGTTGTCCTGCGCTGGCCACATCAGGATGCGGACGGTCTCTCGGAACAATGAATAAAAGTGTCAGTAGTTTGTGGACCGTAAACCGTGTGTGTTGTGCACTGCATGTTTCACTATGAGGCTGTGCTTAGGTTCCCTTAGTCTTGTGCTGTAATTTTAGAAACACCGCACACCACAACTCTGCACCCTCCCTCCTCTCACAACAACACACCTCACTTCTCCTGAACACGGGGTCAGCCTTCGATTTTCCTCTCTTAGACCTTACCTTCCTTTATTTCAATCCTGCCAAGTGTCCATTTACAGTTTTTCAAGAAACAACCACCCAAAAATTCTCTCGTTATTTATGCACGCTCATATTTCAAAGTGTGTATGCTTACATTTTTTTTTTTTTTTCGTGGAACCCAAAAGATCAATTTTTGCAGCTCTTTTCCAAGAAAGTAATCATGGCTGTCAGGCTCCAAAAACGACAACAAACTCCATAGAAGTACCATTATGGAGTTTTATACTTAACTCTTTCCCCGCCATTGACGTAATATTCCGGCTTTTCGCGTTTTCACGATTAAGGTAGGGGGGGACTACACTGTAAAAAGGAAAAAATTGTGGCAACAGATTACAAGCAAAATTATTAATTAAATTGAACAAATTAGGATTGAGTAATAATTAATCAAATTAATTCCTTAAAAGTTAACCATTTAAAATAAGTAAAACTTACTACAACAACCAAAAAAAACATAAATTTAAGTCACCATTATGGTGATCAGTGTTTGTTTTAGGTTTGTTTTAAAATTACGGTTTTCTCCTTTCGTGATTCTGCTTGTTAAAATCAGGTGTCTTCAATGTTGCCAATATAAAATAAAGAGTTCTTAATTAATCTTTTATGTCTGTCTGTTAGTGAGATATTTTTGTTAATTTTTTAGGTGTAAACTTTACTCATTTTAAATGGTTAACGTTTAAGGAATAATTTGATTAATTATTACTCAATTCTAATTTGTTAAATGTAATTCATAATATTGCTTGTAATCTGTTGCCACAATTCTATTGATTAGATAAAACATATTCATTTACATTTTCTGAAAGAGTAGAGAACCTCCAGATCAAAACAGAGAAGAAAAAAAAACTAAAAAAAACTTGGGGTGGTGATGGCGCAATGGGTAAGACACATGCCTTTGGTGTGAGAGACCCGGGTTCGAATCCACTGTGAGACACCAATGTGTCCCAGAGCAAGACACTTAACCCCTAGTTGCTCTAGAGGTATGCGACCTCTGACATATATAGCAATTGTAAGCCGCTTACAATTAAAAGCGTCAGCTAAAAAGAATAAATGTAAAGGAGCAGAAACAACTGATAAAAGCATTGGTTGTGCACGTTGTAGTCTTTTCTCAGCTTTTTGTTCAAAATGTGTGTTTTTTAATGAAAATTACAGTCAAGTGTTGATAGAAAAGAATGCACAAAGCTAGACAACTAGATAAAGAATGCATGAAGCTACATTTATTTATTTATTTATTTGCATGCTCAGAATATATATATATATATATATATATATATATATATATATATATGTGTATACACAACAAAATATTCTAGGGGATATTTTCTTTTTCTTTTTTAACGCTGGGAGGAAAAGAGTTAATGTAGTGTGTTTTTTCTGTTCATTTTGGAGCATGTATGGAATAGAGCTGTGCGAACGATATTTAAAAGTTCTCCAAACTCCATAGAGGTACCATAAATGTCATATGGACCAGTTTTATGGTACTTTTATGTTGTTTTTTGTCATTTTTGGAGCTTGTACACTCTTTAAAATAAAGGTTCTTTGTTGACTTCGGAGGTTGCATGAAGAATCTTTTTAACATCCATGGAAGTTGGAACCTTAACATTAAGATTAGACAAGAGGCTATTTCGATGTTTTAAATGTTCTTTTAGGAGTTTTTAAGATTGCATAGAAAAGAGCTGCGTGAAGAATATCTAAAAGGTCTCTTTTTGGGCTCCACTTAAAAACAACAAATGCATACGGGTTTGAAATGACATGAGGTGGCATGAATAACGATAAGAACTGCTTCATAACGTTGTGTCACCTTTTTGGTTGTTTTGATAAATCAATTGTGACTCTTTAATTTATCAGATTATATTTGCTTGCTTCTTGTTGTACATGCTTGAGTTGAGTGACTGTTAAAGTATAACATTTTATTTATCTCATGACATTTTGTCAAAACTATGACATGGCACAACATCCCTACAGTGATTCTACTGGAACAGCATTATATGGGTAAATTGGCAGTGCCGTCTTTCTCGGAGATATCTGAATCGTACCAAGTATCAAAAAAAAAAAATAATAATAATATTTCGTTATTATAATCTGAAATGTGAATGTTCCCATTTCTCTAAAATAAAATGAAAGGGCTCTATTTCACTTCCTCCCGTGAGATATCATCTGACACAACGTCACAAGTAAAACTTCATTTTTGCTGACATAAACACTCATCTCATTTTGTTAGTAGTTGCCAAAGAAATAGAGCGTTCCATATTTGCTTCCACACAAATGTTTACATTTGGTACTATCAAAGATTTAGAGATACATGGATACTTTTCATCAGGACACTCATTTCAAGCGATCCAGATAATCATAACCTTCATGTATCAGTTTGTTTCTCTGAAGGCTCGTCGTTAAAAGACAAAGCGTTTTATTTCCGTTGCTGCTGTATTTATATGTGTAGGTTGTCCTTGAAAATGCATGCGATTACATGCAGTCCACGTCTTTCGTTTTCATCATCTCTGAAAAGTCGAAATGCTTTTTGTTTAAAACTACTATAAATGTACCATTTCATTTCACTGGTTGACCTACACAAAACCTTTTCAGGGACAATCCACAACTTTCATCCTTATTAAGCTATTTTTGAAAAAAAAGCAAATGTCGATGTATTTTTTTAGAGAACGATCCTCAATATGCCGTTACCTTCTAGAGCATATTTATCGTCACATTCAGTCCTGAATCCTACGAAGAACTGATGAAAATCACTGCTGCCCTCTTTACAACCTCAGCCAGACCTCTGTAAAGAACGAGATCATCTGACAAGAATGACGCTCATGTTGTCGGGCCATGTCTAATGTGTATGCTGGAAAAGAAAAAAGAAAAAAAAAAAAACTTGTGCTCAATGTTTGTGCTCGATGTGAAAGTTACAAGTGATAACAGAGAAACCCTTAGAGTTGTTCAGGATTGGTTTTAAAAATCTCTTTTGCAGTGGTTTATGGGCTAGGTTACAATATGTGAAGCTAACTTCCGTGCACACCTTTACGTCTGGCATTGATTTCTGTGTGTGGACTAGTGTAGCGTTAGAATCATCTGTGGTTCCTGGGTCGCATCGCTGGAAAGAAAACCTTGTCCCCATGTCACATATTTTCCATTATTGCAGCCACATCTATTATTAATATTACTATTATTAACACTGAAGATCATGCATTATTTGCCACTAGTTGGTTTTTCTTTGTTGTCCTACTGCCTCAGATAATATGAAATTGTTTTTCTTTTCTTTTGAAATTGTGATATTATTTTACTTAATTTCTATGTTTGCAATCCTGCCGAGTTTGTTTTATACACGTGAGCTGTAGCTTTTTTTTTTTTTGTTTGTTTTGTTTTGTTAATATTTTCTAATTCATGCGATGTATACAATATATCTTCATGTTTGTAAAAGGAAAATCATCGTCTGAGTCATGGTGAACACATGAACTCAATCATTGTATGTGTCACTGCTAGTTATTCTTCCATGTGTGAAGCATTTTGACTTTTTTGTCTTTTTTACATGGGGATTATGTTTGATGTAAAAATTAACTTTATGTACCAGATGTGTGAAACAAAAATCATGCAGATGAACATTAAACCTCACAAAATCGAAATAATGTCCTTGTTTTAAATATATATTATATGTATGTTGAACTGCAAGATATATTATGAACAATGTACATGTGCAAAATGGCACATTTTTGTCAGAAAAAGTTCGTTAATTAATTACATTTTCTGATATTCGTGATTTAATTATTAAATCATTATCTAACTCTTTATATATGAGCTAATTAAACAATAATAATTTGTTAATTACAGTGACAATGAATGAAGAACTCACTGTTTGTATAGTCTATTCATGTATTAACTACAGTTTATAAACTATTAATTAACTAAACTAATAGTTTATAATAAGTAATAAGTATTTACAAATTATTTGCAAAGTGTTACCTGTGTGTGTTTGCTTAATGTATTTGTACACTTTTTAAGTAACACTGAATATGAATGCAATTAATGTCTAGTAAAGCTTGGTTTAAAGCACTTAATTAATTACATTATCCAATTTTCCGTGACCTAATCTAAAGTAAGAACTATTTATTCCTAATAAGCAAATTAACATTTCCTTTACTACTAGCTAATTAAACAATGATAATTGTGTTAATTACAGTGACAAAGAATGAAGAACTCCCTATTATAGCGTATTAATACATTAGAGACAATATATTAACCATGAATTTACTATAAACTAATAGTTTGTTTATGATTTGTAAGTGCTTTATTGCTGTATACTTACAGTATAATAAAGTGTTACTGAGATGGCAACACTTTACTTGAAGAGGTGTGCATAAGACTGACATGACACCCTCATAATCATGATATTATACGTGATGACTATGAAGGAAGTTTTATGCATGTTTATGACAACTGTCATTAAGTGTCATTCGCTCAGTTATGACATTTTTAGTGCAAATATGAAATTGTTTGAGAGATCTTTGTTATGACACCTTGGCAAAACATAACCTGTCAGTGTCTTTGTCATGACAACTTGACATTAACACAACCTGTCATAAACATGACATAGCAGATTAATTATCAAACTTAACAAACCACTTAAACTGTCAGGTGGTTGGTTTTGACATTGGCTGTCAAAAGGCCATTATGATATTTTATTTGCAAATTCCAATGTAGTTGAGGTCAAGAAAAAATTGCCTCATGACAGCCAATGTCAAAACCAACCACATGAGTTGTCATAACAAAGACATCTCAAACAATGTCAAATTTGCATTAGAAGGAGAAGGAGAACATCGCAAAATCAACCTTTGGTCTAATAAACCTTTGGTACCTAGTCAACCGTTCTCTGAGATTTGTTTTCATGATAATCAAATGTAAAGAGTTTAATCTCTAAAACCGGTTTAGTGTACAACGCTAGTATATGGGGGCATATAATAAGTAAAAAGAAATCACTAGTTAATACCACTAACAAGGCTCAAAATAGCCCCACACTAACACAGTAACATAATGAGGGTCCCTGCATGCAAAACGAAGCATTGAGAACTTTGTAAGCATACAGACCGTTTAATAAGAATACTTCATAAGGAGTCCACTTCGTGTATACACAGCAGGAGCCATCTTTGGAAAACATGTCGATACGTCGAACCACGAACAACGTGCCAAGTGAGCTGAACTGTACGATGTTCAGTGAACTTCTGAACTGTATGAACAGCGTTCGTGGATCGACTTGTCGAGACTGTTTTCTCCTGCCTCTATACACGAAGTGAACTGTCTTTATAAAGTATCTTCTTATTAAATGGTCCGTACTCTTACAAAGTTCTCAATGCTTCGTTTTGCACGTATGGACC